TTTATTATGATAGGAAATGGTGAGCGCTCACTTCCCAAGATGACTTGATGTATTCTGCAGTGAGAATTTGATTTGTCGGTCATGGGAGTAGTAGAATCACTGATAACCATGTTGTCACCTGGATTCACGGCGGGAAATTAAAGCTCTGAAATCCGAAATGGAAAGTGTTATCGTTATCAGTTTTTAGACTATGAATCATATGCTGTTCAGGGGCCATAGTCTTTGGATTTGCCTTCTCTGGCTACTAGAGTCTCGCTCCCTGCTCCTCAGGCTAAAGCCAGTCTTTGAAGATCAGTTCTGCCCTCCTCTCACAAACATTGTTACTGCTTTATCTTGCAGAACATTCTTTTTATTATCCAGAGGGCCCCCCCCTTTTTTTCCCTTCCTTGGTGGGCAGAAGTGAGTGGGAACAGCTATGCTGTTTTCCTGTTTGTAAAGTGATGATGCATAAAGGAACGGAACAGAACATTCGTGACCGCTTTGGCTCTCTTCCCTGAGTGGGAGGTAAACCCTTGCGTCATCAAGCTTGGCACTTGTGAAAGATTACATAAAACTGCCAGTCAGTTTAGTAAGAAGCTGCCATTATTGTTTACTCTTCACACTTTTAGAAGCAGCTACTTTTGGCATAAGTAGTTGCATTGCGCAGCCTGATGGGAAATGTCTGGCATGTGACAAGTCACTTTGGGATGCAAGTCAAATAAGCTGAGAGGCTTCATGGTCAACTGAAAGAAAGGTCCATTTCCCAGACCTCTACCTGTTGAACTGAGTGGATTTTGATGAGGGATGCTTTTGGTCTGCAAAGGGTTCCTATGATGAGAGTAGTAATAACTTCTGTGTGTGTTCCATGAGTGAAAACAATACAGTTGGGAGTTAGAGTTTCAGGAAATTTCCTTGAGGAAAATCATCCATACCCAGCTCCTAGCCTTTATGGTTCTTTGCTGTAATGTGTACTGACCAATTAGTCCATCTATTTCAAGCACATCCCTAGTTCAATAAATATTTGCCCTTGCAAGGCAGAGGTATTTGTGAATTTCCTGCATTGTGCAGGGGCTTGGACTAGATGACCCTGGAGGTCCCTTCCAGCTTTATGATTCTATGAATTATAAGCTAATTCTGAGCTGATTGGTCTTGAAGTTTCTGATGGTCAAGTAAAACTTTATGCTGTCTTTAGGTACCACTAGCAGGTGGAGAGAACCTTAATGTTGCATGCTAATTACTGATGAGGAGTGCTTCTGTAGTCTTCCTTTTGATATTTTCCCAGATAACAACCCAGTATCCAGCCTCATTTTTTGAGGTTGTGCTGTGTTTACTTTGCAACATAGGTGGGATGGCATTTGAAGGAGGAACAGGATATCGATGTACTTGTTTGTGCAAACCAGTCCATTTAACTTGTGATACAAACCGATTTCATAGCCTGGCATGGGTTAGCGGTGTTACTAGGCCAGCACCTCATCCACCCCTCTTCATTATTATTAAAATTAATAATTTCCAATCACTGCTCACAAGTAGCTAGGACCACTGTCATCATCTGCTATCCACTTAGAGATGACATTTCAAATTGATGGTGAAAATATTGTCTAAAACAAATATACAGCTGCAGTTTAGCTTTTCAAGCTATGTGTTTTGTATTTAGAACTCATAAGGGCAGATGACTGCACAAGATACTAACAGGACTAATTCTGCACTATTAATAGGAGCAAAAGAGAGCCAAGGACTTTCAGGTTCTATGGTAAACTGATTATATGAGTTCAACAGGAAGAGACTGGTAATTACTGCTGTTCCAAAGAGCAGGAAACAGATAATTGTAGCAGAATGAATAGTAATTCTTTTTGTTATTTTATTCAGTATGTTTAGGCCTTATACTCATGTGACTCCAGGGATGTGAGTTGCTAAAAGCATCATTCTTCCTGAAAAGCTCAGAACCATGCAGAGCAGCCAGCATAGTGTAGCTTATGATCCCAACCCCAAGAGAAGTCAGGATAGTCAGTACTTGTGCTTTTTCCGTGGTAGTCTCAGTCCTCTGGAATTGGCTGCCTAGAGGAGTGTGGTAAATGACATCTTTGTGGTAATGGGGGTGGGGAGATAAGTCATGAATAATTCAAAAGGCATTTGGAAATTGACTAGCTGTTGTATTTCTGATGCTTTCAATGGGATATGGCGTGTGTATATAATTGGCAATTGCTTGTTAGAAAAGCAGTATGCAAATATGTTAAATACAAAATAGTGCCTATTATGTTGGTCTAGGACTGGGGAAATCCTGGATTCAAATTCCCACCCAGTCAGTGAAGCGCACTGGCTAAACTTGGGCCACTCTCAATTGTCTCAGGGAAGAGCCACACAACAGGTTCTTCCTGAACTATTTTAGGCTTCACATCCATTACCCAGCAGTACAGGAAGCTGAGGCACTGCTAATTCTATGCCACTGGAATAACTGTAGTTTTGAATACTGTACGGCCATGTCTGTCTCTGGAAGAAACCAAATGTTACCTATCCCTTCCTCTCTCTGATGCTCTCTGTAGCTGAGCAGAAGAGTGGGGAGAAAACTAGGCCCCTTCATTTGATTTACTTCAGATATGTTTCTGTTGAGGGCCTTTGGCAGTTACAACAGTGTTCCCCATGGACTTCGGCCCTACCTGAAGCAGCCAATGGCATGCTTCAGGAGGGCCGCCTTTGCCTCCTTGTTGCATCCTTACCATCCTTACCAGTTGCAGCCAGGCTTCTGGAGGGGGGCGGAGCCGGAGCCTCTTTAACAGCCGGCTACGCTTCTCTCTTCTCAGTTGCCGCCTCGTGCTCGGAGAGTGGAGCACGATGACGGAGCTGTAGGCTTACCTTTTAGGCCTCAGGGCCCAGTTCTCTCGGCGCAGAACTTAGCCAGTGGGCCAATGCAAGGTGACAACCTGGGATTCCTGAACATGAAGGCCGTAGTCAGCAAGCCTGAGATGATCTTTCGTTCATTCAGTGACAGTGGCCAGACGCAGAATTGTGTGGTATGCCATACTTCCATGCCTTTATTTATTTATTTAACTTTCGGCTTATATACCGCTCAAACCCCGAAGGGTCTCTGAGCGGTTTACATATGATTACCTACCAGCACCCAGGCAGCAGAGCGGCTCTTGTTGTAGTTTTTTCAGTTCTTATTCCGGCAGGCTTCGGGTATAGATGTTGTTCCGGCGTTCTTTTCCTCCTGGCGCCTTTTGAGCTGATCTTTTTAGTTCAGCGGCTTCTTCCGGCGGCCTCCTCCTAGGGCACGGCCACGCGCCAGCCGCAGCTTCGGCTCTGTCCGACTGGCTCTGCTGCACCGCACGTCACCGCGCCTCCGTAGCTCCGCCTCCATCCAGGTTCCGCCGCCCAAACGCTCACTGGGTCGCCAGGCCGTCCCGCTGTTGCCGCCGTCACTGCCGTCACCAGCTGCCAGTGGAGGAGGGTGCCCCCTGCCACCTAGGGCAGGTACCCACTTTGTCTACTCGCAAATATGCTTTCGAGCCGCTGGGTGGGCGGGAGCTGGGACTCGGGCTGGGAGCTCACCCCGGCCGCGGTGGGTCTTGAACAGCCTTAATGGCTGTTCGCTAGATGTTTTAGCAGGTGTTTGTATGTATAGCAGGCCTTGTATGGTGTAGCGCTTTGGATCCCAAGGGAATTGAGGGAGCTCGGCGCTGGGCCAATTGGGAGCTCCAGTATAGCAACAGTGGCCAGATGCAGTAATAGTGTGGTCAGCCACGATTCCAGGCTTGGTATGGCATAGTGATGTGGATCCCAAGGGGGAATAGCACCGGTGGCCAGACACAGTAATATTGTGGTCTGCCTGGTATGGTGCAGCGATGTGGATCCCAAGGGACTCAGAGAGCTCGGCGCAGGCTATGTTAGCTCTGGAATATTCTGACGGTTGGGTTGGGTCACTATTTGCCTCACCCCAGATTTGGCTCTACAGGGGCGATGGCATTCATCGTTCCGAAAAAGGAAGTAACATTTTCCTTCCGGATTTACGGAAACGGTTTAGGTTACTTTTAGGTATTTGAGTGGGCGCAGGAGCCTAAGCAGAGGCTTGGCCCTTGCGGTGGCATAAGTAGGTCTTAGTTCCTGCAGATTGGTAAGCACCAATCAGCAACCCCATGGGGGGGTATAGGGGTCTGCAGGATCGCCCCTGCGGCCAGGGATGAGGATTGCAGACTGCCTTTGGGGATGGCCGCAACGGATCCTCCACACTGGCCGTGCAGTGGTGTTGAAGGGATTCTCAAGGCGCATCCCAGTCGCTGGGCCCGGCTGGGTTTGCAAGCAATTTACAGTTGGCTCCAACCCAGGGCCTTGGTGTCTTGCGCGTTGTATGGTAAGGATGGGGTCAAGGTGACACTAGGCCTTGACCATGCCACTGTTCGCTATTTGCCCTTCTGTTACTTTCATTATGTTTAATAAAGTGGCCTTAGTTTTACCCAACCTTAGTTGTCTGACTCTTTCTTCCGTCGGGAGGGGGGGGCAATTTATTATTGTGAGGCCTAGTTATCACATAATAGATACTTTTTGATGTGATCTAAAGAGAACACACATTTGGAAAGTTTACATCTAAATGTACTGTCTTTGTCTCATGAGAAGAATCCCCAAGATTCTGAGGCTTGGAAAGAGTCATTGTCTTGTTATTTGAAATAGAGACTTTGAACTCCAGGGAGATCAGGGTAAATCTGCCGAATACTGCATACTTTTCTCCGTGGCTCTTTCAGAGGAAAGTAGTAATTTTTATAAAGAAAGGAATCTGACTCACTACAATAATGTCTGTACCAGTTTACAGATTCCCATCTTTGAGACTGAACCTCTTAAAGTTTATCTAAATGTTTGTGCAAGCATCCTACATGGAGGCCTTGTAATGCGTTGGCCACAAGGCAAAAACTAATTGAAGCATGAATTCTGATCTGGGGGTGGGGGGGGAGTGAAGCCTACTGTGTATTAGCAGATCTGGAGAAGGAACTACTCATCCTTGTGTTTGCTGAACTTGCCATTCTTTATTCCAGTGTATTCCATGGGCAACAGTACAAGCAGGCTATATAGTGCTCTTGCAAAGACTCTGAGCAGTGCTGCGGTCTCCAAACATCAGGAATACTTGGAACACCCAGACTCTGAGATCCTGGATCCTATAGATCCTAAGGACCTGCTTGAAGAATGTCAAGTTGTTCTTCAGAAACGTCCTGCTCGGCTCCAGAGAGACTTTGTGAACCTGAAGACCAACGTTTCCAAAAGCCACCAGCCCATTAGAGTCATGCAGTGGAATATTCTCGCACAAGGTATAATAAATATTAATTAAACTGCTCCTGGCCATCAAGAAACACTTTACTTTGGATTAAACTTTGGAATTTGTTGCCCGTAGATCTCATCATGGCTACAAACACAGATTGCTTTAAAGGGGGTGAGATAGATCCATGTGGGGCAGTTTTGGCAACTCTAGATCAGTGGCTACTAGCCATGCTGATTGAAGGGAGCCTCCATACTGAGGCAAACCTCTGAATACCAGTACTTTGAGGTAATATCAGGGGAAGTCTGTTGCCTATATGCCCTGGTTGTTGGCTCTCTAGGACAACTGGATTGACTACTGACTGTGTGAGGCAGGATGCTGGACTACATGGATCAATAATTTATGTGGTCCAGCAGGGCCTCTCATATGTTCTCTTACAGCCTTTCACTGTTATATCAGTTGATCATTATTTCAGTTACAGATGGGGTTATCAGCTCTGGGTTGGGAAATACCTGGAGATTTTGGGGGTGGAGCCTGAGGAGGGACTTCAGTGTGGTATAACACCATAGAGTCAACCTTCCAAACTGGCCGTTTTATGCACCTGGAGATCAGTTGTAATAGTGGGAAATCTACCTGGAGAAGTTGCAGGAGAAGTTGAAAATTATAGTGCAGGTTTAGCTATCAGGGGACTTGAGCCTGATTTACACATGGAGGGTAATGAGGATGGGAAGCCATGAGATAGTAGAATGAATTGTGAAAGATAGAACCAGCTTTGGAGTTCCCTTTTGCATCAAGAACTCCATGCAAATAGAAGACTGTAGGCTTTTCGCTGGCTGTGCTGACTTCTGTTTGCACAGATGTTTAACAGAGGATCACTGCAAAATGTGATCCTTCAGCGGTTGCCTGACGGTGTTAATAGTCCATTCAGCCACCTCTGTTCTCTGCCTCATCCTCTTGTGAATGTGAACTAGGGTCTACAGTTCTTTCTGTGCCAATCATCTCATCCTGAGGCCTCCATTGAAACAAAGTAAGTAAAGCAAAAAGTCAGAATTGCAGAATTGATAAAACTAAATACCCCCACAGTGGCTGAGTGCCTGAGTCAACACAGCCCAATTCTTTGTATGTAGGGTATGTGTATATAAAAATGGCCCACCAGTTGCTGCTTAACTACCATGAATGTGTTCTTTCATTCCAGCTCTTGGGGAAGGGAAAGACAACTTTGTTCAGTGCCCTGTGGAAGCCCTCAGGTGGGAAGAAAGGAAATGTCTCATTCTTGAAGAAATCCTTGCATACCAACCAGACATCCTGTGTCTACAAGAAGTGGACCACTACTTTGACACCTTTCAACCACTCCTTAGTCGACTGGGCTACCAATGTACTTTCTTCCCTAAGCCGTGGTCTCCATGTCTAGATGTGGAACGTAACAATGGGCCAGATGGCTGTGCCTTGTTCTTTCTTAAAGACAGATTTACTCTAATCAGCAGCGACAACATCAGGCTGACTGCAATGAAGCTAAAAACCAACCAAGTAGCCATTGCGCAGATACTAAAATGTAATGAAACCGGCAAACTGTTCTGCATTGCTGTCACTCACTTGAAAGCACGTAATGGCTGGGAAAGATTTAGATCTGCACAAGGTGCAGATCTTTTGCAGAAACTGGGAAGTATCACCCAAGATGCTGAGATCCCTCTCATTGTCTGTGGCGACTTCAACGCTGAACCCACTGAGGAGGTTTACAAGGAATTCTCAGACTCCAGCCTGAACTTGAATAGTGCTTACAAACTGCTGAGTGCTGATGGGCTGTCAGAACCCCCATACACAACTTGGAAGATCCGCCCCACTGGAGAATGCAGGCACACATTGGATTATATCTGGTATTCACAACATGCCTTACAAGTGAGTGCTGCTCTCAATCTTCTGACTGAAGAACAAATTGGACCCAACAGGCTACCATCTTTGAATTACCCTTCAGACCATTTGTCTCTAGTATGTGACTTCAGCTTTAATGATGATCCTGACAGGCTTTTATAGTTTAGGTTTGATTTGAGGGACTTAAACGTACTGGGTTTATGTAGTGGCCCTTGAACTATGCTCCTGAAGACTTTGGGGAATTATTTATAAATCGACAACTAATTTACTTTGAACCATATCCTTCAAAAATGCTGTCATTAAGCCTTTGCCATAACAGTAAGAAACAAAAAAACTCTGCCGATTGCTTACTTCCAGAGATGTCTTGTGTATTATCTCTTGTTACAGAGACTAAAAAGCAGCTCTGCCACTGTCTATGTTTGAGAACTGATTCCCTAACAAATACATAGAGCTTGGGAATCCATGAGTTCTTAGAGCATTTGCCTCAGATGTGACAATTATGCACTAAATTCACAAAATGGGCCAACAAGGTGGACTACACAAAAGGATGTCACACTACAAGTTATACTGATTGACCAAATGTTGGTGACCCGATTTAGGATTCATTTAATTCTATACATACAAAAACACTGTAACACAGATTTTATTTAATTAAAATATGCTTGAATTTGCACTTACGTGGTCTCCTTTGCTGGGTAAATTAAGGGAAACAAAAGGCACTAAATCAATCCATACAAGTATGTTAACTGTGTTTAACTTCAAGGCCAGTTGGTCTCAATAATTTGCGGCCACTGTCATGTAACTATTTTTGTGGGTGACAGCACAATTCTAGGCATCTGTATTTAGAAGCAAAGTTCTCTACATTCCATGAGATTTTAAAAGACTTTAGGGTCACAAGTTAAATTATTTATCCACAAGAGAAATGGAATCTGCACCTTCTCTAAAAAGCTGCTTCTCAGTTGGATTTTCTCTGTTGGATCTCCCCCCCCCTTTTCAGGTGGAACCCCCCCCCCCCCCCCGGGAGCTGTTTTTCATAAAGCAGTTCATTTTTCTCATTCAACTGGACCATTTTTTATTTCAAACTTGCTTTTCTTGCCCCTTGGGGCATCACAGCCAATGAACCTATTGACCTACAGGCAAGTATCTGACCCAAAGGTGTTTGGCCATGGTAGCCAACAATCCCTCAGCAAGTTGTAATGTTCTTCACTCTGGTTTCAGTCTTTCCTGCTACAGTCCAAAACCCCTACCTACTGAAATGATTAGCAGTTTGATATTACCTGAACATAATATTTGTGAATAGTAGTCTGAAGACTTTCTAGTGAACAATGGGGGAGAGATCTGCTTCCTGATACAACTGAATTTGAAACAAAGGAAGGGTTGGGGGCAAAATGTTTGGCCTGCTATGTGAGACTTTCATCTGCAGCAATCATGACTATTTACTGGCCTGCCTAGTGAGTCAGAGGAGCACATCTCAGAGCAACTTAAAATGAAACACATTTACAGAAGCTCAGTGCTGGACAGTTCCTTCATACTCGGAGGGCTGAGGTCTCATGGGTTACTCCCTAATGTTTGTTATTTTTCTTACAAACAGCACTTCCCTAGGAGTAGGATCTCAGTATACACATCACTTCTTCAATGGAGATGAACTGGCCCATGTGAAAAGCACCTCCTCCTTTAGCAAATATTTACAAAGTGTCTTTAGTGGAATGGAAAGTACTACAACTACCTGCTAGTTTTTGTGATTTTTTCAGTTTTCTATGTGGGCATGTTAACAAACAAAATACCCTTAGCCTGATAATAGCTTTGTTTTGTTCCATATAATAAAATATGACCATTTTATGACAATTACTCCATTGTGCAACAAAACCTATATTGCTATATCATCAGTATTCCCACAAGAGTATATGATTAACTGAATGTTTTGACAGTTTCACCAGTAAGAAGCATACTCCCATTGTTTAGACAGCATGAATACAGGGCCAACTGCTTGCTGGTCTGATCTGCTGTATCTGAGAAACTATGGCTGCTTGACAAGTCTAGAGATCTGAGAGAACAGTAAGGACTGCTGTTTTCACCCCCTATTCCAAGCATGTATAAGCTGTCCAGGCTTCAACAAGGTACTGGCATATATACGATCACTGGATTTCAGGGACAAGGAAATTCTCCTCTGCCTTCCCTAGAAGGGAAACAGATCATAGAATATACAGCTGTTAACATGCCAATCTAATTCCTATTACAAAGTTCTCTTTACGAACAGTAGTTTAAGAATTTTTGTAGCATGATTTGGATATTACAATTGTATTGATTAATAATACCTGGTACAGTCCCTGCTTGGCAGATTTTTTCCCCCTCACTGTTTCCTCCTTTTGTTACCATTCATAATTTACCATAACATTGGTTATATTAGTTTAAAAGGATAGAGAAATATTGGGAAGTGCCTTTCCTGCAGAATAATCAGTAAAAACTGTGCCTTTATTGCAAGATAGTTTTTTAAAGTGTTGTCTAACTAAATCTTTGTAAAACTATAAATCTGATATCTAGCTGATCAGCAGCAGACATAAAAAAGTTTTTAAAAAAGAGACTAAACTTAAATTTCATGTTTGTATTTCAGTAAAACCTACTTGAATACACTTTGAAACAAGAGTACAACAAAATAGAATATACTTTAAATGTTGAATATACAAACTATTATAGTTCATTCTGAACACTGGTACTTCCCTCTAACTTCAACTAAAAAAAAATTTACAGACTTTTAACTACCTGACACAAGTTCATGCCAAGTGTGACCTTTCAAGTGACAGAGTAGAAGCTGAAACTGAAATGTATGCACAGATGCCGAGGCTAAGTGGTTGACTGCAGGCATGGTGCAGCAAAAAGGCTGACCCACCCATCGCCACTTTGTCCACAAGTAAGAAACTGACAGACTTAGCTACCATACAAAATATGTTACATGTAATTCTATAACAATACTGTGCTAGGTATAAGATTTTTTTAAAAAATTGTTTTAATAAAAAATGCTTTACACAAACAAGCCATTAGCTTATTTCAAGAAAGATAACTGAAAATCAGTCTAAGGCTTTCATTTTAAATCTGCTTAAGCTGTATGATACAAAAATCCCTCTAACTCTCAATCTTCTCTTAGAAGCTCTTTAATCCTCCTTTAATTCACATTCTAGAATACCTAGTAGCAAAGTTTAACATAGCACCAGTTGAATACTGTGAGTACACAGTAGTAATTGCTGGTATGCATATTAAATGCATCAGATTTGTCTTTTGTAACAACTCTCTTTTAAACCTCCAGTCCATAGCAACCAAGAATCCCTCACAGAATCAGATTAGTGTTCCATGCATTAGTGTAACGTGATAATGCAGTGAGCTTCTGGAGCCCCCACCAGTTGGAATTCTCCTTTTTTCATCAGCTTAGTATTTTCTCAATTTGCAAGAGGCAGTTGTGTCAGTGTGTGGCTGTGGTTCAATTCCCACTGAAACATGGGACATTAATTCATTTCCAGTAAAATTCAAATATATGCATACCTATTAACATTTTAAAGTCTCTGTTTCCGCCTTGATTGTGTCCATTTCCCTGCCTCCCTAAATATGTCAGTTTGCTCAACTCCACAATGGGCTACGTAGCTAATGTTCATAGCTGCCTTTTCTTCATTTCTCGCATGTTACTATTCCCTCTGTTTTCACGGTTACAGGGAGGGCAATGGCTGAGGGTGTACTGACAACAACTACATGAGTAACTGTCTTGGTTCCATCTGCTGGTGTTTCTTCTTGCACAAGCTGCAGTGTTTTAACTTCCCGTTCCTGCTTTAAAGCCACTGCTTCAGCTTTGACTTCTGGCCCTTTGATGACTGCACTGATAACTCTGGGAGGAGTATGGCCACCAGCCTGCTGGGGAGGCATGGAGAGTCTCATCACGGGTGTCCCATGGGCTAGAGATACTGGAGTGAGTGCTCTCACAGCCAACGGTGTTCCAACTATGTTGATACTTCCTGTCCCAGGTAGGCCACTTTTTGTTTGCAGCTGGCACTGTGTAAGTTGTGTAGCAGGAATCGTAATAATTTTTGCAGGCTGCATTGTGATTTTCTCTCCATTTTCAGCAGATGCTGGCATCATGGTAGGGATTGTCTGGATTACCACCTTTGGGGTTGTTGCTGTTGTTGGGCTTGTGTTGGTAATTAATGGCGACCCTGCATTTACTGACTGCACTGCAACAGTTGAAATTTTCTGTCCTAAGGACGTCATTACAACAGGCACTTGCATTGCCACACGAACCGTTCTGTCAAATATGTAAAGACAAACAGTGCAATGTTAAAACCAAGCAAGCAGCAGGAGCAAGTGACTTAAACTGAGAGAGACACCACAATCATCTGTAACCCACCCACTCCCAACAACTAAGGGGTCTGAAATTAGATATCTCCCTATGCCAAACTGCACATTGACATATTGTCATTTACTTCTTAAAATTTCAGGACTTATGTTGTCTGCTACAGTGCTAAAAATTGCATCAAAATTGTTAAAAATCAAAACATAGTTTAAAGATATGGACTAATAAGTAAGAACTACCTTAAGAGTTAGTTTTTTTTAAAAGTCCTGACTTCATTGTTAAGTCAACAGTAATGCTGAAACGTACAAAAGCAGATAACCGGGTTTCTCAAAAGCAATCCAGATTTAACTAATTCCTGTTTTTTATAGTTTGGTTTGTATGCCCTGCACCAAAACAGTTCATATGTCTTTGCATTCTGAATCTGGATGCATTTTTAAATGTACTTATTCAGTGTCCAATGTGCACACCATTCAGCACTAACCTGGGAGCAGTCGTTGCTGGAACAGGAGTGGGAGAACAAGGTGACATTTCATGCCCGGGTGAAGAGATATTCACCACTCTGGTAACCGGCTTCTCTGCCCTTGTGCAGTTCAACTGAGAAGCGTTTTTCCCGGTGCGAGCAGAGGCTGCTGCTTTCAAGAGATTTTCTGCAGACAATGACACTCGTTCTAACGATTTCTCATCTGTTGGTATGGAAAAATCTTCATTGCCACATTCACTTTTGTCATCAATTACCACAATGTTTTTAGGCATCTCTTTAAACTGGTACACAAGCCTCTGCCCCTCAACCTTTGCCAGAATTCCTCTTTGATAGTAGTATCTGCAAGAGAAAGTATAAGAATATTGTATAAAACAGCTATAAGCAACCTTCCTATTTTTTTTACATTTTTAACCAAAAGATTTAACTGGTAAACCCAAGTCAATTTTCTCAAAAAATAAATAAAAAAATGAAATAACCTATGCACATTGGATTCTACAGCATAAAATCAGAAAGTGAGCAAGATTTATAATAACATCATTAATAATAATAATGAGAATGGCAATAACAATGCTCCATGGCAAGTTCAAAAAGCATAAGGCTACATAAGCAAGACTATGTCTATGGTAAAGCTCCCAATCTGTCACTAGTGCAGGGATTTTTTTTCTGTTTTCTTTTAATAGTCCTCCCTGTCCATTCTTTTTACACACACACACAAAAAAAATATATACCTCAGGGCCCTCCCCATTGTTTCATAGTTCATGTCGGGCTTGTTCTTGTGTTTCCCCCATAGTTTAGAAACTGCTTTTGAGTCCACAAGTTTAAAGATCCCCTTCTCTCGCTGGGTCCACTTGATATACCGGGGACAAGTGTTTTTATCCTGAAGCAGGTCTAGAAGAAATTCCCACAAGTAGGTTGTATTTCCTACAGTAAATAAATATATGTGTGTCACTTTCATATTTAAAACAGAAAAATACAGAACTTCCCTTGCTATTGCCAAGAAAACAGAATGATCAGATTATGCATCAACCTTCTCATGATCCAGATATATACAGTAATTAAATGAATTTCAAAAACAACTACTACAAGTCCAATTTATAAGATACAGCTATAAAAGGAGCATTAAAATAATGTTAGATGCTTTTAACTTTCTCAGTTACTGGGGAATAGAAGGAGAAAAGGTTTCCAGCAAAAGTTAACAAGGGACAGAACTTCTGAGACTGACTTACTCTTTATGTTCGAATGGTAGATCAAGTTTTATCTCTCCTTGAGTTAATAGTTAACGAATAATAATTATCATTAAAATGCTTCTTGAAATGTCAGAAAACCTGAATATAACCACATAATAAAATCTTTCAGTATCTCTACCCTTCAAAAAACAAACCAGCCCTTCTAAAAAGACATGTAAATCATGATTTTCTGTAAGTATTTGGCAAATTAAGAAGAGGTACAATTTGCTTGCCCAAAGCAACATGCAGTTCATTATGTTATACATGCAGAGTTTTAAAAGAACCCTCTGAATTGAAACACTTTCTAGATCCTCCTGCAGAATGTTATAAACTATCAAACAAAGTCCTGTTTAAGTCCACTTCTGTAGTTTACTAGCATTTCAGCAGGGGGCAATCTTCCACAAGAGTCAGTATCAGCTTACAATATAAATATTTATGTTACCATGATATGAAGTCATATTGTACAAGGACACTGTAAAGGTCACCCCCATTTCTGGATTGAATACTTTCTTTCCATTTTATCTCAGAAGGTGACATCTGACTCACAAAAAGCTCAAACTAGAACAAATGTTGTTAGTATTTAAGGTGCCACTGGATTTCCATTTAATTTTGCTACAACAGACTAACCTGGCTACCCCACTGAAATACACATACCATAACCATATGACATACAGTGATTTTAGGAACACACAACAGTACCTATAAACTGTTTGTTCTTGCTAACTGTCTCTCTCCTTCACACATCTCCAATATCAGAAAATATTCAGCACAATGACAAATTAATTTCACCTATGACTTTGTCCAGGCCTCAAGAATCACCAAGAAATAAGTTCAAATAGCATAAGCCGCTATTGTTAGCCAGTGAACAACAAGTAATGACTAAGGAGGGCTAAAAGAATCACAGGTTCAATGAATAATTTCGCATGATAAAATATACTCCATCCCATAAATCCTAGAACAATTCTGAACCTAGAGCTGTTAGTCCTTTGGAACACCACCCTAGTTCTTAGGGAGCAAGTTCCTAGAGCTGTTAGCCTTTTGGAACACCACCCTAGTTCTTAGGGAGGGAATTCCTAACAGTATGATAAAAACTACACCTTCAGCCTTAGAATCTTCAGCCATTCCAAATAAATCCTTGTGGCTTGCAAACATCTCAAAGTCATTCTCCTAAAACTAGATAAGACCTTTGGTATCAACTGAGAAGATTCAAGACGCATTATTACTGAGCAGGCATATTTTTCCATAGTGTGACTTCAAGAGAAAAATGTGAACTGAAAAGCCCATTGCTTTACCATGCCAAGTGGAAGAATGTGCACTTCTAACTAACATTTACCTGAGGAAGAAGAAACCTGGCAAACAAACCAACAACTCTGAGTGCTGGCAAGAGGCAAATCTAACATGTTAGTTACAGCCAGCTGCTTGGCAGTTTATTTCCCCATGGCTCACTGCAACTCCCTTAAGGACAGCAGCAGGTGGAGCACCATGGAGTGGGTGAGAGGTTTTAACATCACATAGCCCCCCATCTCTCTTAATTCACACACACAGGAGAATGGGGTAGCAAAGAGGGAAGAATGGATGACTCCACTTCAGACTGCAGGCGGAGATCATGTAGAACCACACTGTGCAATGCTAATCTATATTAAAAACTCCCTGCAAATGGAAAACCAGCACAGCAAGTAAAGAAAGGGATCAGAACCTTTCTGCCTGCTGTGTTGTTTTTTACGCTGAGGAAAATTCTAAGCTTGAGCCACCACCCCTTGCAGTCTCAAGTGGCAAAAAGTCCATTCTGCCACTTCATTCTCTTGCAACTATGGACCAGATTATAGCAACCCTGCTGCCAGGAATGACATCCCCACAGGTATTTCCTTTCTTGTATTGTTTTAGTTTACTATAAGCTGCCTTGACAATCAATTGATCAAGAAGTAGATATAAATAATTTAAAAAGGGAAATGCCCATTTCATCCTGCCCCCACCTGTTCTTGAACCATTTCCCTTCCTCATTGCCAGGGCCACCTCATCTTTCTGGCTTCGCAAACAAGCCCTCACAATGGCAAATGCCTTGATCTCATGATGGGCTGCCTTAACAACCCAAAACAGCAAGCAATAATTTATAAGATGTTATCTTCTTGAGCTTTCAGCTGTGAGAGAATTAAGGTGTGTTTGCTAAGTACTTCACAATTCTGCAAGAATTATTACACAAATGTCACCTTTGCCTTCTCTTGGCTTCTTCTTTATGCCCATGTCTGGAGATGAACTGGAAATGGCTGATGGTGCTTGAGTTTTTGGCTTTCGGCCAGCTGCAAAGAACAGTTTGAAAGGCTGAAACCTGTACCTACTTTACAGTTTGGGTTACCTCACAAGGTAGGCTTCATCCAAATGTAAACAGGCCACTAATTGGTGACAAATTAAGATAATGACAAATAAGCATATCTTGTAAGTCACAATTTATCTGATCATTGAATTTTTAAAGAGAAAATCTATTTCATTTATATGTAGTTGACAGGTATATTAATTATAATCACTCCCTTGGGTAAACTAATTATATATATGTGATCATTCATCCATTCGTTTATTTACCACTACACATCCTTACAAAAATCATATGAAGACAGTTATTAACATTCCTCTTTTACAGAGAGGGCACTGATGGTGTGCATGTAACTCTTGCCCCATCTATCCTGAAACATGCATGGCAGTGTGCAAATCTGAACCAATTTTCCTGCAACCATCACATATGTTCCCCTCAAAATAAAGCAAAGGCAGTTCGCTTTGATCTGTAGGTTCAACCAAGACCGTTGTTGAAGATGCAAAGTTTCTTACCTAAATATGTAATCTGAATTGTCTACTTACATCATAATCTGCTACCTCACTTTTCCTTAAATCAAGATATTAATAACCAATGGATTACCTATTGGCCCATGTAGGAAATATGCAATTTCTTAGTTACCTTTCTGGCCCAGGGGGCTCAAAGTGACAGAACAACAGGAAAGTGTATGGCTTAATCACATTATCTGCTGCTTTGCTGTTTTCATTGGTGGAATCCACCTCAAGGAATTTGTATGGAAAGGTAACATAAAGAAAAGTTAATAAAGCCCATAACCTCTGAAGTTCCTAAGTGCCTTTAAAGTACCTTTTTTTTTCTTCATTGGCTCATGGATCTCTGGAGATGTTGGTATAGGAGATGTATCCATTGGTTCAGCCTCCTCAGTTGATACCTCTACTACTGTCTCTGTGATCACATCTGGCCTCATTGCAGCATGAATGAACTCTGGAGTCGATACACAAGGAGGCACAAAAACTTCCACTAAAAAAAGCAAATAAATAAAGTGAGGCTTTTATCCAGATCATTTACACTAGACGTAATTCAGTATGCTCTATTGTAAGAAACATTTAAAAACTATTGCATAGGTGGCTTAAGTCAGAGGCATCCCACCAGGGCTTTTTTTCCTGGGGGAACATGCTGGAACAGAGTTCCGGAACCTCTTCAACAAAATTCTTTTTTAAATGTTTAAAAGTTCATGATTTTTCAGTATACAGACTGAAAAGAGAATTCTGGCACCTCTTTAAAAAAAAGAAGCCCTGCATCCCACCATTTCTAAAAATCATAGTATCCCATACATTCAGTCACTATCAGATACATACATCAGTGCTGGATGATAATACTTCTATTGTGACAAAAAACGGTCCTAATTTTTAAAAATACTTCTTGGTCCTAGTCTTCTAAAAAATAATTCCTGTCAGAAGTACAACCCATACTTCCTGAAATGGGATTCAATATCCTTCATTTGTAAATTCCTTGCATCCTACCATAGTTCCACTGACAGAAGATGGAGGAGGGGCAATCTTGCCCAATCCCTCTGTCTCAATGCAGTCCCCCACTGAACATGTGACTTCATGCCTGTGAGGAAACCTCTTCTCCCCAGCCTTAACTTGAGTCACAGGAGGCTGCTGGATGAAACATTTGTAGTATAGATACAACCCACAGACATTAGATGAACTGAGATAGGATTTATGAATGAAAATTCTCGATTAAAAACCATTCATCAGTTTTTGAGTGGTGAACAGGGTTGTACTTTTTTTTAGCAGAATGCATACAGAAGCATGTCTACAACATTTTTCCTTTTAGAACACAGTCATCTGCACACTAGTAAACAATAGTCCCAAAATACAGGCAGTTTTCTTTCTGAAAACAGAAGCTATGGGGGCATAATACAACCCCTGATTTTACAAACAGGGTGGTGTTTTTAATTTGCTTTTGTTCCAGATAGTGTAACATACTGAGTACATGTGAGTAAAAAAAAAACCTCCATGAATTTTCCAGAAAACGCTGATCCAGGGAAGTATTAAAAGCTCTGGGTACAGCTATGTGCCTTCTTTTCATAGAAAGGTGACCTCATAATGTTCTGTAGAAGTGGTGTGAGTTATTATGAAAGGAGCAGATCTCAACAAAAAAATTAATGTACTCTGGAAGGGTGCATCTAGGCTTTGGAAGTTTGAAACAATCTCTAGGAGTTGTGAGACACTGACTTCTTCCCACTCCTCAACAGATTTTTTGGTTAGGACCTTTGACTACCCTGTGATACAATGGAGTCTGGACTGAGACAGGAGGCTGGATCCAGTACACAAAGTTTTGAGCAAGCAGAAATGCAAAAGCACATTAGCCACTTGCACTAAGTCAAACACTGTATCTCTGTCGGGTTTCCACTTGTGCAAGATGTGGAACCCATTTCTGGGCACTATAATATATAAAGGTCTTGCACAAGAGGAACAACACAAGTCCATTTGTTTCTCATTACACATCTCTGCTTCCAAGCCAATGAGTATACCCCCCAATGCAAGTCTGTTTTTTCACATCCTTAATCAACATTTGTTTTGCAGTGGCTGACAATTTAGATCTGTCAGTTCAGAAACATTTCTAGAAATGGAATAAAATTAAAACTAAGCTGTCTTAACATTCTATTCTGTCAATGGTTTTCAGACTGACAAACCCAAGTACTAATGAAGGATTTAATACCCCAATCTATGCAACTAAAACAAAGATACTTATAATTGTAAAAATAACATTGTAGATACAAATTAAAAACCACCTTTCCCTTTTGAGGTCAATTAGGGTCCATTTAGACACAGTACTTGCCATATAGAAGCTACTTGAAACAAGCTCTGTGCAACGGCTACTGCAAATAGCAGTTGTACCGTCTGAAGAAATAGCCGGGGTAAACTGTCCCATTTGTGCAGAGTTGCCAAGACACTGCTGCCACAAGGGAAAGGCTTCCAGCCTTCATGTATGATTTGTAAACTAGCTTCTAGAAGAAAGAGTATCGAAGCTGGAAGAAGTCCAGTCCTTCACACCACTAAGTTAAAGCCTTTAGGGCTCAGCTCTGTTCTGACTGAATGCAAATTAAACCACTGTTCCAAAATACTCATCTGTATTATTGACATACCAGGAGTTCGAGCATCTCTTAAGCAGGTTGGAGATTCCATGTGAAGCAAGGCTTCTGCTGCTTCAATTGTCTTGTCTGAACAGTGCACATTGCTGCCATGAACTGATGCTTCCACTGGATAAAGAGAAAAGTAAATTCCATCACACGCATACAACAACTGTGTGACATGACTAATGCTCCCTCTAAGCTGTGGAGGCTTGTGAGCAAAATTTCTACTGACATTAAAGCTGTGAGCTACTGACATTAAAGCTGTGAGCATGCAATTTGGCTACTGCATAAATTAGTTTGCTCTGGAGCCGTCCTCCCTGAGCTAAGACAGAAATGTGTGAGCTGGAGGCTAAAAAACTCAGCTTAGAGGGAACACTGGATATGACCTATATACTAGTCAGTATCCATTAGTCAAATCTTAAAAGAAACAAGTTCCATTACAATAAATGCTTAAAAAGCTAAAAATTCATTTACATATTTATACGCCACTTTCGTCCCCAACGGGGAACCCAGAGTTACTTACAACCTGATTTTCCCCTCATCCATTTTATACTCACAACTACCCTGTGAGGTAGGTTAGGCTGAGTGTGTGACTGGTCCAAGGTCACACAGTGAGCTTCCATGGCAGAAAGGGAATTCAAACCTGGTGTTCCAGACCCTAGTACAACAATCTAGCCACTACACTATGCTGATTTTCCCTTCTATGAAGTGCATGGGGTTAGAAAAAACATTTCAAAATTGATTCCTCCCTTTATGCCAGGTCAAATCAGTTTTGTTATCAAATACTACTGGGTGCTTTTATGTTACAATCAATTAGCTTTGTGTATAATAAATGAAGAAGAAGAGGAGATTGGATTTATACCCCACCCTTCACTACCCAAAGGTGTCTCAGAGCGGCTTACAAACTCCTTTCCCTTCCCCTCCCCCCACAACAGACACCCTGTGAGGTGGGTGGGGCTGAGAGAACTCTGACAAAAACTGCTCTTTTTCAAGCACAGCTGTGTCAGAGCTTGTGACTGACCCAAGGTCACATCAGCAGGTGCAATTTGCCAAGAAAACCCCATGGACAGTATCAAAAGGCTAAAAGATATGATGCTGGAAGATGAGCCCCTCAGGTCAGAAGGTGTCCAATATGCTGCTGAGGAAGAGCAGAGGGCAAGTACAAGTAACACCAGAAAGAGTGAAGTGGCTGGGCCAAAGCCGAAAGGATGCTCAGTTGTGGATGTGTCTGATGGTGAAAGGAAAGTCCGATGCTGCAAAGAACAATACTGCATAGGAACCTGGAATGTAAGATCTATGAATCAAGGTAAGCTTGACATGGTCAAAAATGAGATGGCAAGATGCAACGAACATGAAATTGAGCAAACAGAGGACGGCAGAAGACAGGAAGGCCTGGCGTGATCTGGTCCATGGGGTCGCGAAGAGTCGGACTCGACTGTGCGACTGAACAACAACCATATTTAAAAAACTAACTACCCAGTTGTGAACGTATGGACAAACTGGAAATGGCTCTCCAGGGTCTCTGTAAATACAGGGTTTTCCTAACATCTGCTACCTGAGATCATTTCAGCTGGAGATGAGGAAGACTGAACCTGGGATCTTCTGCATGCAAAGCATGTGCTTTGTACAGAATTATGCCCCCCTCTCCTAACAGTTAAGTGGGAACAAGGGCTCTGACCCAGAGAAACTGGCCAAGAGCTTACTGATGACATCACAACAAACCCCCACTTGGATAAGCAGAAGCATGGTGTGTTTGCTATGATCATGCACCACCTCCCTTCTCATATGGGGAGCACAATTGAAAACTCAAAATTCAATTTCAGTTTGTTATGATGTCTGTGCAAACTGGAGTTTGTTCCTCCATACAAAACAGAATTCTAAAAATAGTTAACCCCAATACAGAAGCCTGGTTTGTGCAAAGAAAACAAGTTCCAAGTTGCCCAAGTGCCTGCAATCAGATTTAACAGCAAACTAGAGACTGAAAGTTTCCCTAACCAGGACACTTTGAATCATGTTCAGTGCATGAGGGGAGGAGGGAGGGAGTATACTAGCATGGCTATCCAATTTTTATCATGTCAGTGTGGGGCCACTGACTAGCAGAGGGCTCCATTTCTCACACCTTCATTTCTCTCTGTATGCAAGGGTGATAATGAACAATAGCTATATCTATTAGTTATGAACAAAGCACTCAGCAAGTAAATATCTGAGATTCATTTTTGTATCAGGCCCCAACTGTTACCAGCAAACACATGTGATAGAAATAGCCTGAGAAAGACATAAAGGGCTGCTTTATTGCCCATGAACACATATAGTTAATAATTTAGTCTATGGCAACTTTGATGACCCAGTGATGCTTAAGGCAGTGAAGGCATCACATTTTCATGGCCTTATGGGGACACCACAGATTTTTCAAAGCAAGAGATGTTCAGAGTTGATTTGCCAATGCAGAGCAACCCCTGGACTTCCTTGGTGGTCTCCCATCCAAATACTAACCAGAGCCGACCCTGCTTAGCTTCTGCTTAGGAGAAATAAAATTAATTTGTTCCCCCAAACAAGTATTTTTAAGGACTTCTGGCAACTGGAAATTTTTTTTTGAAATATTTAAACATATAAAACAATATTTCAATTTTCATGCTCACTTTTCTCCCCAATGGAGACTCAAAGTCTCTTACAACCACTATTCCCTCTAAGCTGAGTTAGTGTGAGCTAGCTCAGAGTTTTTTAGTTTCCAGTTCACCCATTTTTGCCTTAGCTCAGGAAGGATGGCTCCAGAGCAAACTAATTTATGCAGCAGCCAAATGGCTTGCTCACAACTTTAATGCCAGTAGCTCAAAAAGCAGAATTTTTGTTTACAAGACTCCACAGCTTAGAGGGAGCATTGCTTACAACATCTTTCTCCCTATCTCCATTTTATCCTTAAAACAGTCACCCTTTAAGTGGTGAGAATGTGACTGGCCCCAGGTCACCCAGTCAGCTTGCTAGAGTGAGAGGATTCACACCTATGTCTCCCAGATCCTAGTCTTGACACTTCAACCACTCTTTGAGAAATCAACATAGCTTCCTTTTTTGTCAAACAAGTGTAGTGAACCAGATCTCATTTCTATTCACATTTTCCAGAAAACTGGTATCACTAGCATAGGTAATACTCAGATTTATGTTATTACATGTAATGCCAATAAAGGTCTATGAATTGTAAATTGTTATTACACAGCACCAGTCAAATCTGATGATGCCAAGCTTAAAACTGAGGGTGGGGGATTCACACAGACCGCCATGGTCCATAATATGCCAACAATGAAATAGGCCATATGAAGTCCTTTTAAATTCATGACTGAGCTTCAACGTCAAAGGTACTAAGTCAAAACTGCTGGGGGTGAGTCGGTGGGTGGTGAATGCTTACCCCACACACACTTTACCTGCCTACCTACCCTGTCCGTAAGCATGTGTGCCAGCATTTTTTTTTTAATAAAAGTTTTATTGACTCCCCTAAAAAGGGGAGGTATTTCGCTTAAAAGAAGAAATGGGAAAGGTAGACAGTGGGAGAAAGAGAAAGCTGAGTGATATATAAACTGGTAAATTAAACTGTTAGTAATGTCCAATTAATCTTCTTGGGCTTCTTCTGTGTGTTGTCAAACTTCTTTTTTTTTTTTAATCCAGTCACATAAAGTTCTCTGTTAGTAGGTTAGTAATGTTCCTTTGAGTTTCTGTTAATAAAAAAGCCTCTTCTGGGCACATTCAGAACCGCTTCTTTGCGTGCTGGGTACTTTTAGTGTCGCTGACGTGGAGGAGCTTCCTCTGTTGTCTTCTCCTTCCAGCTTGTTTGATCTTCCTTCGGGTTGCTGTTAACAATCTCAGTTCATGCACTGTAAATCCTCTTCCTTGCTTGCCATTACTGGAGGTCCCCAGCTTTGAGAATGGTATTAATTTCTTCGCTTTTATATCCGCTCCCAAAACTCTCTACTGGGTCCTCCTCGCAACTGTTGACTCATATAAGCGCTTGCCAGGCACTCCTCGCTGTCACAGTTCAAACTTCTCCGTTTTACAAAACTCCCGTCGGATTCACAGCCATAACAGTCCAAACATTAAACAGCCGGCTCTCACACACAAGTAAACGCCCAGACGGAAGTCCCTCCCTTCTTCTCCGCTCGCTTTTGCCCAGCTCCGACATCTTTTCTTTTTTGTTCACTTTTAGAAAGTTCTTAAAATGTGCTCCAGAGAGACAAAACTTTTTCTCGCTTTGTTTCAAATACATCAAAGGAAAACATCACTGTCCGATGGCGGGAGCCTCGGTCTCCGACCTCTCGGCCGAAAGAGCGACTCCCCCCTAGTGCGCCCTAAAGCGCCCCGGATCCGAGCTCCTCTCTTCCTGAGGTGCTCGTTCGGTTCTCCGCTCGCGCGGATTCCCTCCTCCACCGCGGGCGGGCGAGACGCCCTCGGGAGCAACCCGAGGATGCGTCCACCATTTGCGGGAGCCAGACCGGAAGCCAGCAATTTTTTTTTTAATGCCAAAAGCCTTCTAAATCAGGGGTGTCAAACATGTGGCCCGGAGGCCAAATCAGGCCCGCAGTGGAACTGGCTGTCTTCGGCTTCTTCTTCCAGTTCTGCTGCTGTTGCGTCATTGTAGGCTTGCAGCTTACAGATACACACCTGGACAGCATACTCAAGATTGCAACAGCACAGACATTTTGATGTAATAATTCAGAGCAAGAGGTGTCAGTTATCAGACGCTGTTAAATAAACAAAATATTGCAAGAGTGCTAATGTTTTAAGCATGTTTTTATTTTGTTAAAACAAACCCTTTGTGTTTGTGTCCTTCATAAAGTTTATATCTCCGCTAGTTTGCATTACATTTTATGACACACATGGCCCGGCCCAACAAGGTCTCATTTATGTCAGATCCAGCCCTCATAACAAATGAGTTCGACACCCCTGTTCTAAATATTTCAGGAAAGTGCCTTAATAAATATTTTGAGATACAGGTATTTCAAAAACTAGGCAGTTATTTTACTAATGGTTGAATGCAAGAATATATGAGTGCAAAATCACAAGTCTTTCCTGGGTTCCCTTCCCTTGATAAGTCTTCTCCAAACTGAGGTCAGGGGATCTACATGGACTAACAGTTACTT